TAATTGTAAACTCACATACAATGTTCTTTTAAATATGTTTATAAGCAAATTTTTATTTGCAAAAAAAAAGATGTGACTCAGGACCTAGTGCAGTCGATAGAGAATCATCGATAATGCAAAAATCCACTTTTTCTTAGAGACATTTTTTCTCGCATTACAAATATTTCATTGGGAATTGTAATATTTTTCGGGCGTCTAGCAAAGAGAAAAGAGAAATTTCGGCTCAGTGCAAGCCGTGCTGGCCATTCTCCTCTCTCCTCTCCCCGCGCCCTGCTCCGCCGCGCGTGGTGGCACTGCTGCTGGATGTAGACCAGCAGGCTAGTAGTATATCTATATACAAACATAAATTTGCATTAAGTCTTTCACAGCCGCTTTTCTCGAGATCTTAAGTTGGTCAGAATCAAGTAAATAATCATTTTCTACGTATTTTTTTCTCCTTTTTCGAATGATGTAGACTTTTTTTTGAGATTAATAATCAATAATGCAGACATCTTAAGCATCAAATTATTTAAAAGCTAGTTTTACTGGTCTAAATCATAAGTGATTGTTGGAAAGCTTATGACTGTTTAGGCAAAGAGGGTTACCAGCTTTCGACTGTTAATCATTCTGTTACATTTAAAGATGAAGACACTGAAGCTTGTATTAATACGATCAAAGGAATGTGTACGGCTGTCAAACGGATGTTCTCAACAGCTAACAGAAGTAAGAATCATTTTGATTCTTACTTAACTATTTTTATGTACTTCCGAATGAGAGCAGAAGCTTCATGTATCTTTGATCAGTTCTGACAAGACGTTATTTCTGTTTATTCACCGCATGACTCTAAAGATCTCAACATATTGGCTTGTAAATTTTTATCAATCAGTCCTTTTCAGGTCTAACAAAAAAAATCAAAAAATAATTTTTTTCCAGCAAAGAAGTTTAAATTTACCGCGTTTACAATTTTGAATTTCCCGCGCCACGATGTTTTAGCAACACTGCAGAAACTATAGCTAACTTCTCAAAGGGTATCCTAAACTGCACTTTTACCTAAAATTTAAGATAAATAAAAATTGGCAAGCCACTTACTTTGTCAACTATGTTACAACGATAATCACAAATACACTTCTAATTAATCTATACCTATGACACACACTGTCACAACAATTAATTATCATTTATAAAGAATAAATTAATCACACTTGGGAGCACTGATTAAGTTTTGAGCCTGCAAAAAAGTCTTCTCTCGCTGCTTGCAAACTGACTAACGGATGGCGCGACCGTTATGTTGCCAATCCCAATTGATCTGATAAATCACCAGCACAAGCGAATAGAATAATAGTCGAGTGGTCACCCATCCGACTACCAACCATGGCCAGTTCTGCTTAACCTTCCAGGTCGACAAGATTGTAACTCTACCGCTGCCCCACGGTGTCGATTGACTATACTTTTATCGTTACGACAACGTAAGTGGGAGGTGTGCAGAAGTTCAGGCCTAGTGTCCATAGATAACATAGAAATTTGATCGGAACTTAGGTAATACCCCAGCTGTTCTGGGATGGAATTTTTCCGAGTGGTTTCCCCATCCACAGGACTGATTATCCTGGCGAATGTGGAACGGAATTCCCTAAATCCTTACCATTTCCATCCCTTTCCAGTCCCCAAAGTGCTGAGTGTCCAGATAAGGACGTAGTGTGCACTATAATATTGGAAAAAAATGTAAATATACTAGAAGAAAGGCAGTTGTCTGCATCAAGTATGATTGTTTGTTGTATTTAAACAGCCATGATACTTACGATGTTCATTCAAGTGCATATTGCTGTTGCATATTTACATAAATTCAATCCAAATTTTTAGTTGCAAAGCTAATTTTTTATTCTCCTATCTGGACGTAGATAGAAAATGGATGGTATTATACATATATTATTCTGAAGTTCTGTAGATAGTTGTAAAAGAAAAGAAATTATCATAACCAAATATTTTTATACCTTTATTTTGCTTCCAGCTCCAGGTATTTGTCATAAAACCCTTCCCGTCAAATAACGAGAATAGTCTTGAATTTTCTCTGCTATGTAACTATCGTGTAAGCTCTCAAAAAATTTACTATCTTTCGAGAGACTTTGTAATCTGATATATTTTATGGTGGACAGTGAACTGCCGCGTAAGGGAAAATATGCAACGAAAAGTCTGGTCCGCTCCCCCGTTGCTGTTCACCTCACCACTGAGCACTCCTCTGTCTCTTTTGTCTCTTCTCTCTCTAAATATTTACATGACCGACACGATGGCTCAGCGATAGAGTTGCTGTCCCGTCGATCACCGAGGTTAAGCAGCATTTGGCGCTGTAAATACTTGGGTGACCGATCGCCGTTTCCCCTCTGCTGTTAGCTTTGTGGGTTGATTGACTATTTCTCTGTCTCTTCGACATCGTGAGTGGGAGGTGTGCTAAATTTCTACCTCGTTGTCTAAGTCTGCAGCTTGGATACCAGGTCAGAAATAAGTCAGGTACACCGGGCTGTTCCGGATTAGGTTATTTCTATGAAAACTTTTCCGGGGTTTCCCTGATCCACGTGACAATTGTCATGGGCAAATGCAGAGCAGTTGTTAGGGCCCTCTCCCCTTCCAATCCAATCCCAATTTTTTTCCAATCGCAAGTGCTAAGTGCCCTAAGTAGTGCCTCTACAAGAGAGCCGGACTTAAAGCACCATAATAAAAATTAAAAAAAAAAATATATGTATATATACACATGTGGTATAAAAAGTATATTTATATACACGCAGTGGTCGTGGTGGTGCAATAGTAGAGTTGCAGTTCCGTCGATCTCCGAGGTTAAGCGGCATTTGGCGCGATTAGTACTTGGATGGGTGACCGTTTAAGTCTCGCCGTTTCGCCTGTGCTCTTGATTCTCCAGGATCGATTAACTGTTACTCTGACGCTTCGCCTACATGATCATAGGTGTGACTGAGTTGGCCCTCGTGTTTATTCGTATAAACATCTGGTCATAACTCAGGTGCATCGATGTCTAATTAACACTATGCTTGTGTAAAAGAATTCTATGTCTGATCCTACGGGCGATGATGAATAAACAAAAAACAAAAAAAATCTATGTATACGTGTATACGGTAGCTATAACTATTGATGTGTGGATATAGCCTTTTTTTCATTAAAGTGTACAATTGTGTACTAACCTTACATTACGTATATATAGCTGTATAGAAGTATACATATTTTATGCATATAGCGTATACGTATATTCATATATAAGAATACGAGTGAGCATATATTATGTAAATATATGTATTGAAAAAAATTTTCAAATTCTTCTGACTCCGAGAATCGAACCCCTAAACTTCGAACTGGTAGTCAGGGACCTTATCCATTATGCTATGCATACGCATCACGCAGACCTAATTTCTGTTCTTATTACTTACGAATACCAACCGAGGAAATTTTAAATTAGAAAATTGATCGATATTTCGGCTTTTCTTGTATCGCATGTAATTCAGCCCACTAATGGCGAACAAAATAGTTATAATTATTTTTAAGTGGTCGAATAAAGTCAAAATCGTGTTTAAATTTAAATCCGTTTTGCTTATATCTGATGACGGTTTGAGATGCAAAAAAAAAAAAAAAAATACCAACGTGTAGGGCGAAAAATTTTCTATCAGTAAGCACTTTTTTTTGTTTCGACAAGCACAAAATGGTGAGAAAAAAAATGAAAAATGCATTTTGGCAGTACCTGTATAAGTAAGATAGAAAGAGCCGTCTGTCGTCTCCTGTCGCGCGCTCTCTATCTCTCTCTTTCTCTCTTTGAAAATAATGCATTAATTTGAAAATTAGTATTATTTTTTCATCATTTTCAAAAAATTGCTTCTTAGTGAACATGATTATTTTAAAATATGAAAATTTCACAACAATTTAAAGTTTTTTCAGGATCTTGCTGTTCACTTAATTCTTGCATGTTAACCCGTTTTCCCGTAAAAAACTAACGAAGCTCGCGCACATGTACAATTACGTATAAGTATCCGAAAAGAGACAGAGAGGAGAGAGACAGAGAAAGTAATACATATGAACGTACTATTAAGTACATGTATGAACCTGTGTGTCGGTAGGTAGTTAAAATACCCTTTACCGTGTTTTGTTGTTCTTTCTCGTTCTCTTTGTTTATGTGTTCGTAAATAAAAAAAATTTTTAAATAATTTTTTATTTTCTTTTTGCTAACCTATAATATTCTCTGATAAAAACGCATATTCGTAAATAAATTGTCTTTTCAATCTGAAATTAAAATTATTTAGGGTGAAAAAAATAAATACTTTTTCATCATAGACAATTAAGTATCATCGATATTAATCACATATCCTTTGTTCTTTCACATGTGTCGGTGCTCCCCAGACCCACACCTGATTTTTTTCTGAAAACATATGTTGAAACTTCTTAAAATCCTGATATAATAATAACTACCATTTCCATAGATCTTTAGTAAATATTGTACAAGAAAATTAAGTAACAAAAACATCAATTTTATCTGGCTCAGCCATAGTGCAGATGCTTTGACACCACTGCTATTCAAATGATAAATGCGAGAGATGGCGCGACCGTTTTGCGCTAAAGATACTTTATTAGCATATAGTGCATTTCAAACAATGCCAACGTCAAAAGTAAGTAAATTCAATATTGAGTTAGTTGGATAAAAGAGTGGGTGCATACTTACAGGGGGCCAAACTGCGCTGCCATAAGTACTCCCCCGTCCTAGCTCTTTTGAAAAATGCTCCTGAACCTCCTAAAAATAAATTATACTTTTTTTACAATTATTGGCACGAGCAAGCTTATCACAAGATGATCTTACACCAAATTTTTTTTGCACTACTATGCCCCTCAATATTGTATACAATTCATACATTATTAGAGCATTACTTCAGAGGCAATGCTTATAGAAGCTATTTTTCTGCATGATAGTATTGATTTATATTTGCATTCACATACGACTATAGATAATAATTAATAATAATCCTACTCTATTGTAGATATTGGTGCTAATTTGACGGATCCAATGTACCAGGGTTTTTATAATGGCACACGTAAACATCAGCCTGATCTCAACAACGTACTTGAACGTAGCTGGAGCAATAACTTGTCAAAAATCATCATCACAGCTAGTAACCTGGAAGAGAGCAAAAAAGCATTGGAAATCGCCAAAATGGACGGTCTGTCTCTCGATTTTGCTTTGCAAATATATTATATCTGCGTAACAAATACACATGTCATAGAAGTATGTTTTAGCAATTAGTACAACTGTCTGATGCATAAATGCCCAGGCCATCTGGTGATCGGTGCTTGTGTTTTGAATTGTTTAACTTATTAATAGTAAAGTGTACAGTAAAGTCTCCGGGTCATCTGATGATATGGTCTTGTGTTGGTAATAAATGTTGGGTTAATTGATAGAGTGGCCACTAAGTGCCCCGTGTTACATGGTTATAGATGATTATATAATTAATTACTTATTTTTGTTAATAGTAAAGTTTTCAGTAAATGCGTTTCATCACCTGGTTGTAGGCGTTTATGTTTTCAATTAAGAAATGGCATGGTTTCTTGGCCCTGATTTGAATTTTGCTCTTTACATTCGGTACTACACTTCCGGCTTACTGTGTGGCATCAGACACAAAAATATGTTTTATTTAACATTTTTATTTTTTTATTTTTGAAACATGAAGCTTTTTTTGTTACATAGCTAATAAATCTAAATTTATGCCCAACATAGTAGTAATTAAAAATAAAAATTAAAAAAAAAAATATATGTATATATACACATGTGGTATAAAAAGTATATTTATATACACGCAGTGGTCGTGGTGGTGCAATAGTAGAGTTGCAGTTCCGTCGATCTCCGAGGTTAAGCGGCATTTGGCGCGATTAGTACTTGGATGGGTGACCGTTTAAGTCTCGCCGTTTCGCCTGTGCTCTTGATTCTCCAGGATCGATTAACTGTTACTCTGACGCTTCGCCTACATGATCATAGGTGTGACTGAGTTGGCCCTCGTGTTTATTCGTATAAACATCTGGTCATAACTCAGGTGCATCGATGTCTAATTAACACTATGCTTGTGTAAAAGAATTCTATGTCTGATCCTACGGGCGATGATGAATAAACAAAAAACAAAAAAAATCTATGTATACGTGTATACGGTAGCTATAACTATTGATGTGTGGATATAGCCTTTTTTTCATTAAAGTGTACAATTGTGTACTAACCTTACATTACGTATATATAGCTGTATAGAAGTATACATATTTTATGCATATAGCGTATACGTATATTCATATATAAGAATACGAGTGAGCATATATTATGTAAATATATGTATTGAAAAAAATTTTCAAATTCTTCTGACTCCGAGAATCGAACCCCTAAACTTCGAACTGGTAGTCAGGGACCTTATCCATTATGCTATGCATACGCATCACGCAGACCTAATTTCTGTTCTTATTACTTACGAATACCAACCGAGGAAATTTTAAATTAGAAAATTGATCGATATTTCGGCTTTTCTTGTATCGCATGTAATTCAGCCCACTAATGGCGAACAAAATAGTTATAATTATTTTTAAGTGGTCGAATAAAGTCAAAATCGTGTTTAAATTTAAATCCGTTTTGCTTATATCTGATGACGGTTTGAGATGCAAAAAAAAAAAAAAAAATACCAACGTGTAGGGCGAAAAATTTTCTATCAGTAAGCACTTTTTTTTGTTTCGACAAGCACAAAATGGTGAGAAAAAAAATGAAAAATGCATTTTGGCAGTACCTGTATAAGTAAGATAGAAAGAGCCGTCTGTCGTCTCCTGTCGCGCGCTCTCTATCTCTCTCTTTCTCTCTTTGAAAATAATGCATTAATTTGAAAATTAGTATTATTTTTTCATCATTTTCAAAAAATTGCTTCTTAGTGAACATGATTATTTTAAAATATGAAAATTTCACAACAATTTAAAGTTTTTTCAGGATCTTGCTGTTCACTTAATTCTTGCATGTTAACCCGTTTTCCCGTAAAAAACTAACGAAGCTCGCGCACATGTACAATTACGTATAAGTATCCGAAAAGAGACAGAGAGGAGAGAGACAGAGAAAGTAATACATATGAACGTACTATTAAGTACATGTATGAACCTGTGTGTCGGTAGGTAGTTAAAATACCCTTTACCGTGTTTTGTTGTTCTTTCTCGTTCTCTTTGTTTATGTGTTCGTAAATAAAAAAAATTTTTAAATAATTTTTTATTTTCTTTTTGCTAACCTATAATATTCTCTGATAAAAACGCATATTCGTAAATAAATTGTCTTTTCAATCTGAAATTAAAATTATTTAGGGTGAAAAAAATAAATACTTTTTCATCATAGACAATTAAGTATCATCGATATTAATCACATATCCTTTGTTCTTTCACATGTGTCGGTGCTCCCCAGACCCACACCTGATTTTTTTCTGAAAACATATGTTGAAACTTCTTAAAATCCTGATATAATAATAACTACCATTTCCATAGATCTTTAGTAAATATTGTACAAGAAAATTAAGTAACAAAAACATCAATTTTATCTGGCTCAGCCATAGTGCAGATGCTTTGACACCACTGCTATTCAAATGATAAATGCGAGAGATGGCGCGACCGTTTTGCGCTAAAGATACTTTATTAGCATATAGTGCATTTCAAACAATGCCAACGTCAAAAGTAAGTAAATTCAATATTGAGTTAGTTGGATAAAAGAGTGGGTGCATACTTACAGGGGGCCAAACTGCGCTGCCATAAGTACTCCCCCGTCCTAGCTCTTTTGAAAAATGCTCCTGAACCTCCTAAAAATAAATTATACTTTTTTTACAATTATTGGCACGAGCAAGCTTATCACAAGATGATCTTACACCAAATTTTTTTTGCACTACTATGCCCCTCAATATTGTATACAATTCATACATTATTAGAGCATTACTTCAGAGGCAATGCTTATAGAAGCTATTTTTCTGCATGATAGTATTGATTTATATTTGCATTCACATACGACTATAGATAATAATTAATAATAATCCTACTCTATTGTAGATATTGGTGCTAATTTGACGGATCCAATGTACCAGGGTTTTTATAATGGCACACGTAAACATCAGCCTGATCTCAACAACGTACTTGAACGTAGCTGGAGCAATAACTTGTCAAAAATCATCATCACAGCTAGTAACCTGGAAGAGAGCAAAAAAGCATTGGAAATCGCCAAAATGGACGGTCTGTCTCTCGATTTTGCTTTGCAAATATATTATATCTGCGTAACAAATACACATGTCATAGAAGTATGTTTTAGCAATTAGTACAACTGTCTGATGCATAAATGCCCAGGCCATCTGGTGATCGGTGCTTGTGTTTTGAATTGTTTAACTTATTAATAGTAAAGTGTACAGTAAAGTCTCCGGGTCATCTGATGATATGGTCTTGTGTTGGTAATAAATGTTGGGTTAATTGATAGAGTGGCCACTAAGTGCCCCGTGTTACATGGTTATAGATGATTATATAATTAATTACTTATTTTTGTTAATAGTAAAGTTTTCAGTAAATGCGTTTCATCACCTGGTTGTAGGCGTTTATGTTTTCAATTAAGAAATGGCATGGTTTCTTGGCCCTGATTTGAATTTTGCTCTTTACATTCGGTACTACACTTCCGGCTTACTGTGTGGCATCAGACACAAAAATATGTTTTATTTAACATTTTTATTTTTTTATTTTTGAAACATGAAGCTTTTTTTGTTACATAGCTAATAAATCTAAATTTATGCCCAACATAGTAGTAATTAAACAGAGCGACACAGACTTATAAAAATTCAGGTTTCTTTGGCCCACCACATGTTTTAAGAAAACAATGTAGGTCCACTAGCTTGACATTTTTTGACGTAATCGACCTATAGCTTGCACATGAGCCTGTATGGTATTATTAAATTCTGCCAAAATCAAAAATTTTAATAAAATGAACAATTGAAGAAGTTAAAGAATTGTGAAATAAAAGTGAAACTGCGTGATATTGGTTACAGTAAATAAAAGTTTTTTTAATATAGAGGATAGTTGTAACACTAACGCGTTGACTTTAACAAAAAAAAAGAAATAATTAACTAGCTTCTTTTATACCATTGCGTGGGTTTTGTAGTTTTTCTTTATTTATAAATACATAAGTAGTATATTTACATTGCATATGCAATACATTTACAGATGTTTTTATTTTACTTTTTTTAGTATTTTGTTCTCTTTGGAAATAGTTAAAATTTTTTTTCAGCTATCATTTTGAATATCAATTCAAAAAAATTTCGAATTTTGTGCTCGTTGTGATGACACACAGGCTCTCTCTCTCTCTCTCTCTCTCTCTCTCTCTCTCTCTCTCTGATCGGTGCAAATATGTAAATATGTGCGTGGACCTACCTTTTTTTTGTACCGTAAGGCAACTATTACTTATACAAGTGATATAAAAAATAGCAATGGTATTGCAGTTGTAATATTCTAGAGGTAATGCCTTTACCTGCCTGCATACTAGTACAAACTAGAAAAAAAAATAAATTCAGTTAAAAATAATTAAATTAAATAAATAACTTTTCAATACCAATCTGAATACGAAATCAAGATTACATTTTTATTTTGTTGATTGATTTTTGCAGATAAACACTTAATCTAGTATATATTTTACATATGGTTCTCCTTCTTTCTCTCTTTCTTTTATCCTATCTCTCTCTAATTATGTCTCTCTCATTATCTCTGTCCCTCCCTCTGTCACTTATATCTACACTGAGAGAAACCTAGCGCGTGATCCGTCCTTAAGGTGGCGCGGTTGATCTGCCGCTTGTTTGGAACGCACGGGACACCAGACTAGCGCGTCAGCTGCACCACTAGACTGGCTTGAGCGTTGAGCTGTTAGGCTAGCGCAAGTACTGCATCATACAGTGTACCATACGTTAAGCATGAGAATAAAATCGTATCTGTATTTATTCGTCGATCGAAATGCGATAAGTTTAAGCGCATTATGACTCAGAAAGCCACTTTGTTTTATTTTCCATTTTGAAAAACTTGTTCATTTAAATCAAAAATTTGAATTAAAATATTTTTTACAAATACTACCACTTTTATCATAAAAAAACAAATATTCCAGCATACGTTGACTGATAACAAAAATAAAATTTTTTCCTTC